TCTTTTCTTTTCGGCATGTCACAAGACATCACAACACTTTTGTGTGTGTGTGTGAGTGTGAGTGTGTGTGTGTGTGTGTGAGTGTGTGTGTCTTTAAAAGTGCTCAGAAGATGAAACCGTGCAGATGTATTTAACAAACAAAACTAGATAATGTGACGGTGACATTAAACACACACAAACACGCACACACGCACACACACACGCACACACACAATCTAATTTTGACTTTGACCTGATTTTGACCTGAAGTCATGAGCCTCGAACCGTCCTTTGATGCAGGAAACACTGTGATTGGCTCTTGTTAAAAGTCAAGACAAAAATAAATGGTCGGACTTTTGTCTGTCTTTATTGTGTGTGTGTGTGTGTGTGTGTGTGTGTGTGTGTGTGTATGTGTGGGTGCAGAATCCACCATCCACATTATAGAATCTAAAATGTAGAACCGCTCCGTGCAGCACTTCCTGCCCAGCATCATCATCATTTAACTGTCAACTTCTCCAAAATGAGAAGAAGTTTTGCTCAATACGTCAATTTGGAAAATTCAAGCTGACATAAATTTGCAAACATTTGTGAAGCGCTCACATGGAAATTAAGTCGACTGAGACCAACCAAAAAGACCAAAAAGAAATGATCTTTCTCCTAATAGCATTTACAGAATTTTATTTCGTTCAACGTTTTATAACATCCTTTGACAAATGTTTTAAATAATAATTAAAAGTAAAACTCTCAGCATCATCTGGACCAAGTGTAAATTATATTCATTTTTATAATAAAATTGCTCATCAATTTTTTTTTGCCTAAGATGGCAATTTCTCTCTCTCTCTCCCTCACTGTCTCTCTCTGTCTCTCTCTCTCTCTCTTTCTAGTGTAATTCTCGCTTTCCCACACACTCCACACACACACACACACACACACACCAGTCCCAGTGGACACAGCTCAAATGCGGGGAGATACTGTAAACACACAACATGCTGATGCTGTGTAAATTGGGTGGCTAATGATGAAGTGTCTCAGGAGGTTTGGGAGGAGGACGAGAAGGGAGCGAGCGGTTAATGAATTGGTAGTAAAGGAAATGAATGGACGTGGACACAAATGAATGGTGGAGGTGGAGGGCGTCAACAGGCGCTCGTCTGATGTCAAAGTACGGAGAGACAGAGAGACGGAGAGACAGCGAGACGGAGAAACAGAGAGACGGAGAGACAGAGAGACAGAGAGACAGAGAGACGGAAGATAAAGTCGAACGGTGTGTAGTACCTGAGGGAAAAGGAAAGAAAATAGAAATATTGGAAAAAAAAATTATGAAGTATATAAATATATAGAATATATAGAGTATTTTGTATTTATATTTTATGTATTTATAATTTGTTAGCTATAAAAAATACCCAGTCAATATTATAATACTTTTTTTTAAATACAGGTGTATATTACCTGAGGGAAAAGGAAAGAAAATAGAAATATTGGGAAAAAAAATTAAATGAAGTATATAAATATATAGAATATATAGAGTATTTTGTATTTATATTTTATGTATTTATATTTTGTTAGCTATAAAAAATACCCAGTCAATATTATAATACTTTTTTTTAAATACAGTAACAGACAGCAGTCACTTCACACATAAAAAAACAACTCTGCTGCTGTCGTGATGGGAGACAAAAATATGTTGTTTCCACTGAATGAGTCAATGAAAGACAAAAGGAGGAGAGACAAGTGAGACAGAGACAGGGAATGACGTAAAGACAGAGACGGAAGGAGAGACAGTGAGGCAGTGCTGTGGTTTAAAGGACCGGTCTCAGTAGATTCCTGCAGGCTCATCTTTGATACGATACGTCTTCACTTCCAGCCCACGGCGCCGTAACTCAGTCAAAGCCTGAGTTTTTAAGAGTCTTTTATGTCGACATGAAAAGTCTGTGTGTTGTTTTAATTCTTTCACTGGTTTCTTCAAAATGAACATGTTTTTCATCTTCATCTTTGCTCTCCGTTTCGTATCGCTTCATTTCTGTACTTGTTGGTTTTTTTGTCCTTATAATTTATATTCTAACTTTTTAACTTGAATTCTTTTTCTTTTTTACTAACTAGCATGCAATTTTATACTTTCATAAAATTCATAATATTATGATATAATTGTAGAAATTGATTTTCTATCTGTGATTTAATCCTGATTGTTGCAGCTGTGACTGTGTTTCAACAATAAAGACCTGCGTCTCCTCTCTTCCTCCTCCTCCTCTTCCTCCTCCTCCTCCTCCTCCACCTTTGGTTTCTTTCACCTGTGTCTCTCAGGTCCAGGGTCACATGCCTCCGCTGATGATCCCGGTGTTTCCTCATGACCAGAGATCTTTGGCTGCTGCTGCCGCTGCACAGCAAGGATTCCTCTTCCCACCGGGCATGTCCTACAAGCCAGGTACACACACACACACACACACACACTGCAGAAATTCACAAACTGACACACATGCACACACACATGCACACCAACACTGGGATGACACACACTGTTAATGAGGTGTGTCAGGTGCGGAATGTTCTGGAACCGAGCGGAGAGATTTATAATCCCTGCTTGTTTCACGTCGGGAACAATACATTGGACACAGCTCGGACTGGAATGTCTATTTTATGGCCTGCTGAAAACATGTCAGTTGCACAACACATCTGCAACATGGAATTTCACACTTTCTCACAGTCAGAGACACACACGCTGGCGCTGTCAGGCATGTCCTCCTGCTGCTCACTCACCGACCCAACAATACACACACGAGTGTGTTGCACAGAGTCGAAGAGCTGAGCACTAAACACACAAAGGCGGACGTAAGTGCTGCATGTCTCAGCAGCCCACGATGGATTTAGCCTGAAACGTTAAACTTAACCTTCACACACAGTCACTTACTTCAGGTTTGTGGCTTGTTTTTCTTTTCTTTTTTTAACCTCTGCACCACCTGCTTTCTTCTTTTCTCACCTTCCCTCTCACATTCCTGTCTTCCCTCCCTCCCTCCAGCTGCTCACCTGATAGAGAACATTACTGACCCCCGCCCCCCATATTTCAAACATGAGCACAAACCCTCAGTAGGGAGTCTGAAATCAAGGAAACAATTGAAAGTCCATTATTGTCAACTCTCTGTTGATGTTTCTAACGAATGCTTGGACATGGAAAGGCTTTTAGGGACAAACAGGGGGGGGGGGTCTTCACTGCTAACTGTTCTCATCGGGCCACATGTCACTGATGTTCACTGACAAGAAGTGTTTTTAACCTTTAAAAGAAAATGCTGGTTTGTCTTGTTAACACACAGACAGGTTAGTTCTTGTGCTGCCAACCCTTGTTATTATACACTGAATGTCGTTTGTGTGTTTTTCAGCAGGTGATAATTACCCAATGCAGTTCATTCCATCTACAATGGCAGCTGCAGCAGCATCTGGACTCAGCCCATTACAACTACAGGTAAGACTGCGAAAACAAATATACTTTGTATGTACTACCATTGTTTGAAACTCTGAAAAGGTCCAGGATCCAGGATCCAGGTTCACCTGCTGCTTCTGAGATACTCTGACCTCAACATGTCAGTCAACACGCAGTAAAGAATCCATACATTTTACAGCAACAGGTTTGGGCCCTTGAAGGCGTAGCAGCATAAAACAGCCAAAGGTTGTCAATTATTAGCTGAAAGATAATTAAAAAAATGATCATGCCAGAATGATTTAATTGATGTCCCTCTACTTTACTAACTGGTTTAACAAAATTAATTACAGTAGACCTTGAATTTACACCATCAGCCAGACTGTAGTTAGAATTCTTTTTTTAAAAATCATAAAATATGTGTTTCTGTAAGACGTCCACATAAAACTATCCAAGTGCCACATATGGCCCCCTGGTCAGAGCTTGGACACACAGTAACAAGAACAAAGGCAAAGGCTAGAATGGAGAGTGTTTGTTTATTCAACAAGTCCATATGACTGAGTGATCCTGAGGGTGTGACCCGTGGAACAGAACCCAGGACGCACGTGCACAAGTGGGGAGGTAAATAAAGAGAGTGGAGATAAGAAACACTAGAAACTACAGGAAGTCTCTATTCACTTCAACTCTGCCCTCAGTTAAAGTGGAAGAAATAAAAAGTAATGCATTTCCTTTTTTTTTTTTACTAACAGATGCAATAAAAAAAACCTAATGGGTTTTTGCTGCTTGAAAGGTTTACTGTAGGGTTACAGCCAAAAGTACTGAGAAAAAAAATATCAAAACTCTTCATAAATAAATCAAGTTATCTTCAAATGTTATTTAGGTTTTGGGGGAAAAGAAATCAGATGTGACCAGATCCAAACCTGTTGCAAAAAAAAGTTTTGGTTTCCTTTCCAGATAGTTAAAATTTATTTTATTTTATGTTTTTAAGCTGATAAAATGAAACTTAAAACCACACAGTGATAAAAACCCAAGTGATGTTTACATTTCTAAAACCTTTTGCAGTTATAAAATCTGTCTCAGAACATTTTGACTCACCATCTCACTACCATTGAACCCTTCACACATGAGCTGCACGAGAGAGAAACGAATGTCAAATGGCAACAGTAGCTGCAGCCGCATCAGATCACAGACACATTCGTTAATGAGTTTTAATGAGTTTTCGACTTTTCTAATAAACTCACACACATGACGCATTTGTCGAAGATAAAGTTTTACGAAGCCGACACTAACGCTGCAGTGCAGCCTTATCTGCTGCCTGTCAGCTGTGTTAAACAAAGGCTCTTATGATGAATCTCAGAGGAATTCCGCCCCAACAGCACAACACCTGGGCCTGGCCATTCATCAAATACTTTACTGCGTCTTGACACCTGTGGTTTGTGAATATCATTTATCCATAATGGTTATCAGTGAGCATATCTGCAAGAAAACAAGAAAAAGGAAAGAAAGAAGAAAAGGAAATCTTCACTCTACACAGGCAGTTTGGGAATTTCACAACAGGACCGTGTCACACCTCCTGCTGTACCTAATATGACAAACAGGAACAAAAGCCACTAAAGGCTTTTTCAGAAGCAGACAATAATGTTCCATCACGTCAGTTTTTACCAGAGCTCGGCTTTTAGAGAAGAATGATTATCTCACTTTATTCACTTGGTATTGTGGATTATGCTTATTGACGCCTTCATTAGCTACTATTGACGTGGGAAAAGCACACGCTGCGCTGGGGGGGATCGCAGTCTGAGCGCAGCCTGCCTTTACTCTTGTCTTTGAAATTACCAAAAGAGCCGCACGGTGAGTGAGAGGTAAGAGCGGGAATAATGTGCGAGATGCAAATCCCATTCACATCTGAACACTGAGCCCGAGACGTGCAGTAATGAGAGGCAGAGAGGAACCTGAATGAAAGAGGAAGCAGTGTGGGCTGGAAGTGAGGAGGAGTCTGGGAAGGAGAGGACGACGGAGGGTGTGTGTAGAGACAAACAACAAGGCTGTCAAAGGAGATCTAGTCTGAATGAGGCCATGGTAACAAAGCTGCGTCTATAAGAGGAAATGTAGAAAGTTGTGTTGAAGGTAAAAAGGATGAGCCGGTGTTTACTCACGCTAGCTTCTGTGATTCAGGAGTCAGAAGACGACAACAATAACATCAGGGACGGTCTCACCGGGGGACACTGTTTTCTAAATTGAAAGTGAACAACATTAGTCATATAGAGCCGTTTGTCTAAAATTGGATGGAATTACTGAGAACATTTCCAAAAAGCACAGTATTAAACCTGTGGTACTTAAAGCAGGAGACGCAGAGCTGAAGCAGGGGAACATGGCAGCAGGGTAAATCAGTCAAGTTGCACCTATGTGTAATTTAACATGAATAAAACAGGGCTCTGAATGCAGTTCAGTGGAGTTTGAGTGTGGAGGGACTACCGTGTCTCCAGCCTGGACTGCTGTGACTCTGAGCTAACAGTTCTAATCATCCAGAATGGAACATGTGCATGAACGGACTTCTCTACACCTCGCACTATCTTTAGCCCCGTGGCCTGCATGTAGCCATTGTGGTTACGCAGTAGTGCCATAGCGGCCTCTCTCTCTCTTCCTCAGTTCTGGCTCTGCTATCTCCACGGGCTCTGCCTTTGAAAGACGAGGGACATTTTTAGAGTCTGTGTGTTTTTCCTAACAGACTGCTCTGATCTCCTACACTACTTTTCCTTTTCATTTCCTGCTCTTGCATGCTAACTGTGAGTGGCCTTTTTGCTTTTGGCTTTCAACATGGGATGAAATGCTCACCCAGGCTATTAACAGTAGGATTGTTATGAAAATGAATTTATAAAGTCTGATAAAGCAGCTCTGTTTTCCACAGCACAGCCTTACTCTGCAACTCCATCCTCCACCCAGTTCCTTGGCCTAGGCCATCAGATAAGAACTCACTGGAAACAGCAAATAAATAACATCAAAATATAAACTTAGATATTCATAGATTAATGAACGTTCTATCAAAAATGCGTTGGATTTCTTTTTCTTTTTCAACCTCGATTCATTATGAAGTTCGACAGAAAAACCACGGAGCTCCAACAGAAACCTTCTCTGCTGTCAACGTCAGTGGTCGTTAGTTTCACTAATGCTTCGCCTCAGCCTCCTCCTCCATGGTACATGCATGTGCATGTGTGTGTGAGGCTATGCATTAGCCCATAAGAAGCATTGTAAGCAGATAATTCCACAGTGTTGGCTCTGCATTAGCAGTTTCTCCTGCCGTTCTCTACACTCAGGTACACGGCAGCTGGAGCCAGACTTGAAAATGTCATTTATTCTGCTCAATGCAGAGTGGACAGATGTTGAGGCCAAAACTGCTCCAGATGTTTTTATGTTGAGCTTTTCTGGACACTTTCAGACAGCTGGCTGGCGAAGACGGTCGTACAAGCCAAGCAGGCGAGTGCTGGCAGAGGGGTAGCGCACATTAACGCGCACAAGCTGCAAGAGATTTTCTGTTTATGAAACTGATCGCTTCCTTTGTTTTATGTCCTAATCAGTTGATGGAGATCAAATTTATATCAAATGAAGATTGATAGAGATTTCTGGCAAAAACCTGTGACCTTCCAATTGTGACAGAACAAATGTGGTGCTCTCAGCGTGGGAACTTGATCAGGCCAATTGTTTCCAGAGCCTCGGAGCAGACCCCTTCACAAA